GTGTAGAATGTCATGGTGAACAATTTGACAGTAAATTCAAATGTTAGAGACGCAGTGTGTCTCGTCGTCTGGCGTCTCTAGCCTTCGGAACTTGGATCGGCTCAATCTTGACTCCTTAATAAGCTAGAAACTTGATTTTTGAAGGATTTTCAAAAATTCTGAGCTGTTTTTCAGCCGAACCCCCTTAAAATCCCTAAAATCCCCAAAATTTGCAGCTACGTGGAAGGTGTCAATAAGGACGGTGAGAAGCCGGGAGACGCTCAAATCGGTCGTCAACTCATGGATATTGTCACCTCGTCGTCGAACAACATGCAACCGGACAAGCTTGATGCGCTCGTCAAGAACACGCTTCGTGTAAGTTTCAGATTTCGAAAAATTAAGGGATAATCGTCAAATTTGAAGGCAAAAATGATAGTTTTTTGAGCTGAAAATGTTGATTTTGAGCCCGAAAATGGCATATTTAGCACCGAAAGTTCCTATTTTCCGCCATAAAAATGTCAAATATTACTCTAAAAAATGATACATTTTGAGCAGAAAAATATCAATTTTAGGTCTGAAAATGCTGATTTTTAGCTAAAAAATGGCATATTTTTCGTGAAATTTGAGGCCAAAAAATGATAGTTTTTGGGTCTGAAATTTCGATGATTTTTGGGCTGAAAATGTTGATTTTGAGCCCGAAAATATGTCAATTTAAGGTATTAAAATTGCTCATTTTCGAGCTCAAAAATGAGCAATTTTTGATTCTAAAAATGACAGTTTCAGGTCAGAAAATGTTGATTTTGAAACAAAAATGCCAATTTCAGGTCTGAAAATATCGATTTTGAAGCAAAAAATGACAATTTCAGGTCTGAAAATGTTGATTTTCGACTTGAAATGCTAATTTTGAGCCTAAAAATGTGAATTTTGACACCAAAAATGATACATTTTGGATCAAGAATCATCAAATTTCAATCTGAAAAGGCCTAATTTTGACTTGGAAATTCTCCGAAAACCCCATCAAAAATTGTCAAAAATTGGTTAAAAATTGTCCCAAAAAAGTCTAAACGTTCTCCATTTTCATCAATATGAATTTTTAGTGAAAAATCTCAAATTTTACTCCTAAAATACGGAAAATTCGGTTTTTAAGCTGCAAAATGGCTCAAAAATGACAATTTTTTGCCAATTTTGGGACCTGAAAATGCTAAATTTGATATTCAAAAATAGCAATTTCTGAATTTGAAATGCTCATTTTGATCTAAAAAATAGCCTTAAAAACCATCAAAAATTGTCTGAAATTCGTCTTAAAATATTAATTTTCACACCAAAAAAAGTCGAGATTTCGATACAAAACTATCAATTTCATTGAGCCATTCCTGTTAAAGATATCAAAAATCTGTCAACTGATAAATTGATTATCATAATATCAGCAACATTTTATCAGTTGACAGATTTTTGATATCTTTAACAAGAACTGATATGAAATGGCTCAATGAAGTTGATAGTTTTGTATCGAAACTTTTTTTGGTGTGAAAATTAATATTTTAAGACGAATTTCAGACAATTTTTGATGGTTTTTAAGGCTATTTTTTTTAGATCAAAATGAGCATTTCAAATTCAGAAATTGCTATTTTTGAATATCAAATTTAGCATTTTCAGGTCCCAAAATTGGCAAAAAATTGTCATTTTTGAGCCAGGAACCGAGATAATCGATTTCAAACTGGAGTGTCTGGGGGGGGGGGGGGGTGCCCTTCTCTTACAGGTTTTACAGTAATTGAAAACTAATTTTTGCAGGACTACGTCATGGTCTCGTACCTCGCCAAACTGACCCAAACTCAACTTCAAGTCCACGAGCGTCTCGTTTCTGCCTAGAAGACCCCACGCTGCTGCTGCTGAATCTATCTGGAATTTTCTATTTCTACACCTTTTTCGCCCCCAAAAATTACAGTAATCCCCCCGAAATATCACTTTTCTGTTTGGTTTGTTCCCCGTTGTTTTGTTGAAAAATAGGCTCCGCCCATTTTTCTAGCCCCGCCCCCTTTTTTTCTTATTTATCTGTTTTTCCCCCCACTATTATTCGATTTTTCTTCCCTGGTCTGTCATTTTTTGTTTTTGGTTTTTAATTTAGAAAAATCACTTTTTGAGAGTTCTGGAAATTCTGAAAATTAAAATTTTTTGGGATTTTTTGAATTTTTTCTTCAAAATCCGAATTTTCGAAAATTTCAAAAAAAACAAAATTTTGGGATTTTGTAGAATTCTGAAAATTCTGAAATTTCAATTTTTTCGGAATTTTGGGATTTTTTAAGCTTTGGTAATTTCAGAATTTTTTACTTTTCCAGAATTTAGCGTTTTCTGAAATTTAAGAAAAGAATCATAAATTTCATAATTTTTTGGATTCTGAGAATTCTGAAAAATTTCAAGAATCCTCATTTTCCAGAATTTCGAATTTCTGAAAATTTCCAATAATTTTTTTGGTCTTCAAAAATTCTAAAAATCTGGAATCCCATTCTGGAATTTCAGAATTTCTAAAAATTCGAATTTTTCGAAAATTTCAGATGTTTCGGAATTTTCAAAAAATCAAAATTTTCGGTTTTCTAGAATTTCTTTCAAAAATTCCTTTTCTCTTCTGATGCCCCGCCCCCTTTTCCCTCCTTGGCTCCGCCCTTTACGTCTTTTTGGTTTCTGATAAACCTGGTTAATGTTTAAAAATCGATCTGTTTTTTTTTGTTGCAATTTTTTGGTTTTTCCGGGATTTGAGAATACCGTTTCTGGCCAATCTAAATTTCAGATTTTTTTTTTGCGAAATTTCAAATTTAAAAAACTCTAGAAATTCCAGAAATTTCTCTCTCCTCATGAGCTGTGAAATTTCGATAAAAATAGAAATAGCAAAATGAACGATCAAATGAAGCAGAGGTGGAAAGAGGCAAAGGAGCGAATCGGCAATGCGTATCATGACTATGGGCGGTACGAAACTAAAAATAGCTGAAAATCATGAGAAAGACTGAACAAAAATCTGAAAATACAGCTGAAAATAATTAAAAATGACTCAAAAATCATGAAAAATGACCCAAAAATCATGAAAATTAGAGACGCAGTGTGTCTCGTCGTCTGGCGTCTCTAGCCTGCCGACACTTCAAATGGCCATATCTCGAGTTCTAGATAAGCTAGATACGTGATTTTTGAACACAATTGAATGATTTGAATTGGATTTTAAGATTATCCGTCGGTGGTCCGTCATTGGCCCGTTTCGACATTTAAGACTTTTTTTCAAAAATTCCTTTGTGCAGGTATCGTCAAATAGACGAAATTTCTTTTAATTCTGTCCAAGAACGAACTTTCTAGCGCTTCTGGAACTCGAGATATGGCGCTTTGAAGTTTTGAAAGCTAGAGACGCAGCGTGTCTCGTCGTCTTGAGTCTCTAGCCTCCCGAAACTTCAAAACGCTGTATCTCGTCTCTTACAAGCGCTAGAAATGTGGTTTTTGAACGGAATCGGACGGTTTGAATTGAATGTTCAGATTAGCCCTAGCTGGTCTGTCATTGGTCCGCCGTTGGTTCGCCGTTGGCGCGTTTGGTTTCTGTCGGGCCTAAAACAGACCTAAAACAGACCAACGACAGTCAAAAATATTGAACCAACTGCACTGAATATGATAGAAAAACTTGAGAACTACAAAATGACACTATTTGGGATACTGTACCTTGTCTATTCGACATTTCCAGACTGTGCGCCGCGCATCCGAAGACATGTCTAACGATGTCACTTCTCACAATGATCGTCCTCTCGTATCCAACAATCACACGACTGCGATTACCAGTTAGCACGCCAATCGACATCTTTTGGAGTGAACATCTTCATGTCAATGGTATCAGCAATCTGAAAATTTTGTTTTCCACTTTTTTCGGAATACTTCTCTGAAAATCGAATATCTGACTTCAAATTCCATCTTAGCTCACTGAGAGCTTCAAAATGATGCCCCACACGACCAGTTTCCGTGCAATTTGAGTTTTTTTTTGGGTTACGGTAGCCTCAGTTCTGTGCAAACACCAGAATTGACGACGAATTGCGGAAATTTTTGCTTTCAAGATAAATGGGTCGTGTTTATACTCATTTTGAAGCTCTTGACAAGCTGAAAACGATTCTGAAATCGAAAAATTCTTAAAAATCGATTTTTGCAAAATTTTGAGAAAAAAAAAAACAAAAAATCCCGAAAAATTTGATTTTTTCAGAAAAAATCGCTCCATTCTGGATCAACGAGAATCCGGCGTCCTATATTCAACAATTCATCGTTTCAACTACAGTATCCCCATGGAACGCTACTGAAATGTCGCCGGAGCTGGCGGTCCGTGCCGCAGTTGCCACGTCATTTCGCATTAGAGCGCTTTTACTCGCCGAGCCGTCTGTCGAGGAGTTGTGTCTACGGTTGGCCGGTCAGAGACAAGACTCCACGTGGCCATTTAGGTTAGAAGTTGAAAAATCGATATTTCGGATTTTTCTGAATTTTTTGTTCTCCACATTTTCGCATAATTTTTGTTTTAGAGCATTTTCGCTTTCAGAATCATATCCAGCTTGTCGATAGCTTCAAAATGTGTATAAGCACGACCCATTTATCTTGAAGTCGAAAATTTCCGGGTCCCACCACGAAATACAGCTACAGTAACCCGAAATTTTCAAAATCAACGTAAAATAGTCGTGTTTAGTATCATTTGTAAGCTCTAAATGAGCTGAGAACGAAGATATAGTCAAAAATTCAAATTTCAGTTTTGAAAATCTGGAAAAATCTGAAATTTTAAATTTTCGATTTTTTTGTTTTCAATTTTTTTTTTCCTAAAAATCAATTTTCCAGCATTTTCAATATTAGAATTGTTCTTAGCTCGTCGTGAGCTTCAAAATGAGTATAAACACGACCCATTCACCTTTAAACCAAAAATTTCGGGTCCCACCACGAAATACAGCTACAGTAACCCGAAAACTTCGAAACCAATGAAAAATAGTCGTTTTTGGTATCATTTTGAAGCTCTCGGCAAGCTAAAGATGATTTTTTAGTCGATTTTCTCAAATATTCAGAAATATGAAAAATTCGATTTTGCGATTTTTTTTCTATTTTTCCCCCTGATATTTTGAGAATCTTGCTTCATAATCATTTTTAGCTTGTCGAGAGCTTCAAAATGAGTATAAACAAGACCCTATTCCCTCAAATTTGAAATTCCGGGTCCCACCACGAAATTGAGCTACAGTAAGCCGAAAAATTCAAAATCAGCGGAAAGTGGTCATGTGGGGTATTATTTTGAAGCTCTTCATAAGCTAATGACGGTTCGCGGGTCGGAAACACTCAAAATTTAGGTTTTCGCAAAAATTCCGGGACAAAAATATCGATTTTTTGAAAATTTTCAATTTTTCCTCGGAAATTCCGAGAATATGGCTTCACCCTCGTTTTCTGCTCGTTGAGAGCTGCAAAATGATACCTCACACGCCCATTTTCCGTTGATTTTGAAGTTTTCGGGTTACTGTAGCTGGATTTCGTGGTGGGACCCGGAAATTTCAAGTTTAAAGGAGCATGGTCATGTTTATACTCATTTTGAAGCTCTCGGCGAGCTGATTCTGAATATGAAGTCAGATTTCCAAACTGACTGAAAGAATTTTTCAAAATTTGAAAAATCACAAAAAGTTTCCAGATCCAAATCGCTTTGCGTCGTACTGTCGCCTGCCACCATATGGTACAACAATGCGCAGAAGTTCCAGGAGGATGATAACGTCATCGAGACAGTATTCAATGAGCAATGCAAGACGACGTTCTGTATGAGGGATTTGTTGCTGGGGGCACCGGTGGCAGCCACAGGAATCAAGCAAAAGTATCAGACGAATCGGAAGAGAAGTTAGTAGGATGAAATTGCTGAATACCCCAAAAAAAATGCGGCCGAAATAGCCTAGAATAGCTGAAAATCGAAATTTTGAAATTTTCGATTTTTTGTCCCAAAGGTTTTTGCATAATTACAGTTTTGGGGCATCTTTGATTTCAGAATCATCTCCAGCTCGTCGAGAGCTTCAAAATGAGTATAAACACGACCCATTTATCTTGAAATTTCGAAATTTCGGGTCCCACCACGAAATGAAGCTACAGTACCTCGAAAATCTTGAAAATTAACGGGAAATTGTCGTGTTTGGTATCATTTTGAAGCACTCAGCGAGATGAGGACGAATTAGAAGTTGAATTTCTGGGATTTCCGAAAGAAAAGTCAAAAATTGAAAAATCCAAAAATTCGAAATTTTTCGAAAAGATGGAAAAATCGATTTTTTTCATTTTCAACACTTCCATCGTTCTTAGCTCGCCGAGAGCTTCGAAATGAGTATAAACACGACCGATTTATCTTGAAATCGAAACTTTTCAAATTTTGTCGTCAACTCTGGTGTTTGCGGAGAAATGAAGCTACAGTAACTCGAAATCAACGGAAAATGGTCGTGTTTGGTATCATTTTGAAGCTCGAAACGAGCTGAGAACGAATATAACCCCTGCAATGTGGACATCCGGACACTGCGGACACACAGAAATCGGTAATTTTCCAGAAATCGAATTCGCAGTGACCGTATTCTTCTCGAGATACAGCAAACGCGTCATTCAGACGCTTCGCGACAAGTTGGGCAAGGAATTTAAACTTGTTGTAAGTCTGAAAATCTGAAAATTCTGTACTTTTCTCCAATATCAGAATCACTATCAGCTTGTCGAGAGCTTCAAAATGAGTATAATCATGACCCATTTATCTTGAAATCGAAATCTTTCTGGGTCCCACCACGAAATCCAAGCTACAGTAACCCGAAAATCCGTATTTTCAGCAAACGCCAAGCAACGATGAGCACACGTTCGTCCAAGTCTACTTTCATCCCCTGAAGACCTTCTCCTCCTATCTGCCACTGATTTCGACGTATTTTGTTTGCATGGTAAGATAGTTGGGGTCAGAGACGCAGTGTATCTTGTTGTCTGCGTCTCTAGTCTGTTGACTACCTCAAAATAGACGAAGTTTCCTTCAATTCTGTCCAATTTTCAAGTTTCTAGCGCTTCTAGGAGCTAAGATATAACCATTTGAAGTTCCAGGAGGCTAGAGACGCCAGACGACGAGACACACTGCGTCTCTAGCCTCCTGAAACTTCAATTGACCGTATCTCAGCTCTTAGATGAGCTAGAAAGTTGGTTTTTGAACCAATTTGAAGCGGAAAATCGATGTCAGATTTGAGAATTTTCCAGGAAAATTTTTTGAAAAATTTTCACTTTTTTCAAAAAAAATTTTCCGGAAAAATTTCAGATTTTCTGTTTATGATCATAAAATAGACGGTATTTTCTTCAATTATGTCTAAGAACCAACTTTCTAGCTTATCTACAAGCCGAGATACGGCCAGTTGAAGTTCCAGGAGGCTAGAGA